CCGAGACCCAAAAACTAGGGCATCGTACTTAATACACTGCATTTTTCTAGAGATGCAGATGACACCAGAGCCGCCCACAAACAGGGTTCTGGGGAGTCGAGAGCGGGCGCAGCATGTGCAGAACTCACTTGGTGTCTTACATGATCACGCTGCTTATTAACCATATGTGTTGTGATAGGTCAAAGCTGAGGTTAAACAGAAAACATCAATTGAATCATTTCCCTAAATAGAGCTCCAGGGTGCAATATTCCAAGCACTTTATTCAATAAAAAATGCTTTTCAAATGGTACTTTGGTGATTGAGAAACATCGCGATCATCCGTCAACCTCACTGCAGCAAAGTTCAATAAGCTAAATAAGGAACCAGTCAGATGATTTTCCTGAGGCTTCAGGGACTGCAAACATTGCATCAATAGAGCTCTTTAAAAATTATGATGAAGTCTACTGTTTTCATTTTCAGATTTAAAATATGTGTTAGGAATTTTTTAAAGGTTATTTAATGTTCTGCTACTTTTAATCATTGTCTAGTTTCCAAAGTAAGATGAAATAATTTTAAAGTCAAAAAATTTAAATATAAAATTAGCAGTTCCTATGTTGTAATTTATTTAAATTTGAATTCGTGCTGTGAGCACCTACTAAGCTTCCACCCTGACAAAATTCTCAGTGATCTCTAGGCCAATGAAATCTCTCTATCATGAATTCCTAATTTAAGATTCAAAAAGTATTATAACTTATGTAAAAACTTAAAGATAAAAAATCCCATATACTCTCAACAAAATTTGTATCTATTTTTGGCAGGTAATAAGATAAATATATATAGTATTTTCAAAACTTTCAATAAAATTTTCCTGGTTTAAGAAAAATCTCTAGTCTAAGTTTCCCACTGTTATGACTGGAAAATAATTCTTTTAAAACATAATCATAAGGAATTTTAGAGAATCTCTAGTACGCTATAACAGAAGAAAGAAATAACGTGCTCAGCCCTCCTGTGTGGCCTGCCGCCCTTCGGAAGGCAGCCACCACTGGCCCCTGTGTGTCCCACAGCCCACACTAGAATACTAAGAAGAAGGCAGTTTATAAACCCTAACTATTCATATTGTCAGGTTTCGATCCCCAAATTTGCTTATGACTGTTGAATCGTGCCTTTTCTCTTAGATAGCCTATTAATAAACTTAAAACTTTGAAACACACACACACACACACACACACACTCACTCACTCACTCACTGTGCTTGGCTATGAGAGTTTAACAAACTTACTAAACATAATCTATAAAACATAACAGTGTAGACAAAGAAAGGCCTGAGAAATCGCGCCCACCAATTACGAGGTCTAAGAAACTGCACTGGGAGGGACTGCACGAAGCGAGAGTGGAGCCCCACCGTCTACGACTCCCCAGTTTCCCTCCATACTCTACACGACAACCGAGTCATATTCCGGCGCTTCTCAGAAATCACTAACACTTCAACTAATCCCAGTTTTCACAGACTGATGCCGATGTTTTCTCAAGAGAGAGAAGTGGCAACATGGTTCACAAGAAGGAACTTAAGCTCCTCCTCCTAATTTCATTTTGCGCCAAAAGGGCAGACACCTTTGCTAAACAATGGAAGCTAGCTCCTGCATGAACTTCCAGTGATACGGTTTTAAAGACTCAGTTTCAGGTGTCTGCCACACCATTCTCCCTCCTCCTGCCCTGACCAGGAACCACCCCATCACCTTTCCTGAGATTCGCACGGCCAGCCATGCCCACGAGCCCACAGTGGGAGATGAACGTGACGTGTGACCGGCGCCCACACATAAGACGAACGGGGAGCCCAGCGACGAGCCCAGGCACAGCCCAGCGACGAGCCCAGGCACAGCCCAGCGACAGAGCTGGTGACCAGCGCCAGGACAGACAGTTGAGGACAGCGACGTGGCTTTGCACCAAGCTTTGCTCAGCCTTCTCTGTTGAATAAAGCTTGTCTTTCAAAAATTACACCAGTGGCTTATACTTAGCACATGTGGGGTCCCTTCTCACTGCAAAGTCAGAAAAAGGTGCCTGAGGTCACATGTGTCAGGGGACGCCCCATCCCCTGCCACCTGCGCAGCTCGAGCGCGAAACAGCCCTCAAGGTGGTGGCAGGGTGTCCCACCCTGACTAGTCACACTCCAGCCTTTGCCTCCAACCACAAAAGTCAGGCAAAAGCAAAGACTTACGAGACTCGGTGGTTCTCAACTGTAGGTGCAAGTTTTTGGATTTTCAAAGTAGAGAAAAGTCCACCCCACACCAGACCACTGAGTAGTCGGCATTTCTGGACCTGAGGTGCTAGGATGTATAAAAAGACAAGTGCTTACAAAAAGGAAAAGGAAAAACCCAAAAGTCTAGCTGATGTGCAGACAGGTGTAGAAGCCGCCACTTGCTCAAACGTGATTTCTCTCCCCCAGGAAAGCGGGTCCTGCCTATGGGCCCTGACACATGATGTGCCTTCGGGAGACGCCTGCTTGGCAGCCAGTGCCACGTCAGGACGTGGTCACAGCCAACTTTCACAGACAAAATACGAGTTATGACCGGGCTGAGCCTAAGCCTGAGGCAGAGCCCCCCACTCCTGGAGGCTGCCCAGGAGGCTCCTGCATCCAGGCAGCTGTCAGGTATCAGGTGACAGTGGCCTGCCTCCCTGAGGGTCCTCCATACCTGCAGACAGCACAGTTCCTCCTCGATGCTCAGCACACACGTGTGCACTGACTTCCTTCTTCTCTGGGTTGCAGGTGTGTTCCAGGTGCTACCCAGGAGGCTCCCTTCCTAACGTTTTAAACTCACTGCTGTGTATTCTGACTTCTGACTCATTGAGGACCCAGACTCTGCACTGTGTGTTGTCACGGCACTCACACCTGCTAACACGGTCTCCTCATTGGTGCTGCTGTATTCACCTATTTCCACACTTTCATGGCCAGGGCTTTATATCCATTGCAAAGCATACTGCCAAAATGACACATCCTCTTACACTTCTCAACCCTCCTCCTTCCTCTCTAGCTCCACCCTGCCTGCCCCACCACTGTTCAGTAACGCTGGGCTTTGTGCTTACAGTCCTGTCATTTAGCAGCTTTTAAATCCATGTATAAAGAAATGCAACTAGTACAATAATTCTTTCCCCTCCCCCTCCTCTCTCTTTCTTTTTTAGAAACAGGGTCTGCAGGCTGCAGCACAGTGGTGCCATCTTGGCTCACTGTAACCTCAAACTCCTGGGCTCAAGTGATCCTCCTGCCTCAGCCTCCTGAGTTGCTGGGATTACAGGCATGAGCCATCATCCCTGGATACTTTTTAAAATTGTTTCGTAGAGATATGGTCTTGCCATGTTTCCAGGCTGGTAATACCCTAATACTTTCTAAGATCTAAGTTTTAGTTTTCTTAATCCAGGACTTTTATTAGTCTTTGTCATGAATCTTGACGTTTTTCTCATTCTACATTCATGCAATGTATACTCACTATGCATCTTCTTTTTTAATACAGCCTTATTGAGATACAATTCACATACCATACAACTTACCCATGTAAAGTGTGTAATAAGATTTTAGCATATTCATAGCTGTGCAACTGTCACATAAGCAATCTTATAACATTTTTATTCCCCTAAAAAGAAACTTCATATCCTTTAGCTATCACCCCTCAGCCCCTGGCAACCGGGAATCTACGCTGTCTCTCAGAATTGTCTACTCTGGACGTTCCACGCAAACGGAGCCACATGGTGCTGCCTTTGTGTCTGGCTTCTTTCACTGAACATGATGTTTCCTAGGGTCATCCCTGTTATAGCGCACGTCAGTGCTTCACACCTTTTCACGCCTGGAGAGTGTCCCGTGTACATGGACTGACGTTTTGTTGGGGTCACCCCAACTCCTGGCCGCACTGTGGACACCAACCCCGTGCACGAGTCTTGGAGGACGAGTGGGTTTGTTCTCCTGGGGTTACACCGGAGTGGCCTGCAGGCCACGTGGCAGCTCCACGTCCCCGTCTGAGAGACCTCCAGCCCATTTTCTAAAGCGCTGCCCCTTAAACCCCACTGTGTGTGCAAGCTCCGACCCCCACACCCTCACCAACACTCGTCACGGTCCCCCTTTTCCGTCCCTGCCACCTCGGTGGGTGTCGAGGTGCCTCTCGTGCCTTGACTGTGATGCTATTACAGAGCAGAGGTTTTTCCTCCTTTGCAATATCCGTGTTGACCAGCGTCACCAGACTCTTCTCTTTGAAACATTAGGCTTATTTTCTTTTGATTTTGATGGAAGATACTTTCCCCCTGATTGTTTGTGTATATGACCCAGTTTTACAAGCGCTTGAGGAAGCCAGTTTGTCTGCACGGCTCCCACCGCTGGTCTGACTACCTCACAGAACTACCCTGAGAGGACAGGGTATACAAAACTGCATGTAAAATACACTAAGGCTGTACAGTCGCTGGAAAAATTTAATAATAAATTTTACTGATCTAAAAATCAAAGAATGATATAAAGTTTGAAGTGACCGACCGATTTGTCATATGTAAGGTTTTACCATTTTTGTTGATTTTTAATATTATTTACATCCTGATTCTCTTTTGAAATAGAAACACTGTATCTAAATTCTGGCAAAGTGAGTAGAAATTCAATATGCAAACCTGATGATTCATGATTTGGAGATGAGAAAAAATTGGATGATGCAGCCTGTAGGAAGAGCCCCAGCCTCAGCAGCTTTGTGAAAATCTAGCTTTGACACAAAGTAGTTTATGTAATGGGTAAAACTCTGATTTTTTTCTCATGCTATTTCCTATAACCATGTGTCAGACACTCTGAGATGTGCTGACACATTCAGACCAAACGTCCCTGTCTCGAAGGCCCGCGTTACGCCAGGGTCCCATGCTGGAGAGAGTGGGACGGCCTTCCAAGCTACAGCCACACATTGGGCTGGAGTCTGCACTACAGACTCCAGCCCAATCCCCTCCACACCCCTGAGTAAGCACGCGCCCCCGAGCCCCCACGGCTCTGCGCCAGGACTGACCTCATCGGGGCTGGAGGCCTGGTAGGTGCGGTTCTCGTCGCTGAAGTCCCGGTCGGCCTCGGCAACCTCAGTCTCCCCGGTGACACCAGCCCAGGACTCGTACACGGGAGTCACGTTGTGACACAGCGCAATGGCCTTCACAGCCTCGTGGATTCGACTGCTGACGCTCTTCCTGACTTTGGGGGCTGAAGATGGGCCTTTTCTTGGTGGAGGTGAACTGGCATTGTTTCCAGCAGCTTGAGAATGCATCTTTAAAATGTGGAATGTCACACAATCAAAGATAAAGCAAAGAGAACTACCGTCTTTACAATGGAACTGTTAACCCATCTAAGTCAGAGGGGATAAGAGAAAGTGGCTTGATTTGATTCTGATTGTCTTCCACATAGCGCTGATTAATAAGAGTTAGGGTTTTATCCTAGCACTTCAAAGTGTTTTGATATTTCCAAGTTGTGCAATATACTGAAATATTTCCATAATACTTCAAATCTAATAATTTCTTTTTAATATTAGTATATTTACTTCAACCATGGTGTTAATCTGCTAGAGCCTTAATAAGTCCTGTTTATTACTTCTAAAACCAGAGTAAGTTAAAGAACAAATGGGAATGGCACACGCACACCTGCCGCCAGCTTTCCTTAAAACCACTTCATGAGAAACGGTGTGAAGGTAAGAGCAGGATGACAGTTTAAGAATCTTCCCTCAACACCACAGGTTAATCCAGCTTTCAACAGCCTCTGAGTGTGGACTGACTAGTTTGGGAGATAATGATCAAACACAACAGCTGCTGCATTCAGAAGAAAAGCAACCTTCCCCCAGCACTGACGTGCGGAGCTCCTCAGACTGGCTCTCTCGAGGGGCGTGTCTCCACCATCAAAGGGGCGGCTTTCTGTTACTAACCTCCTGCTCGGGGGGATGCCAGAGGACACCCCCCACCCCCCACCCCGACTCCAACACGACTGTCAAACATTTCCTAGTTAACTTTGGAGTAACTCCTGACAAGCCTCCCTAGAAACGAGGCTCTCTGTCTGGACCGGGTGCACAGAGCTGGCGAGCCGTGACCCTCCTGCCCATCCCACCGCAGCGCTGCCTGATGAAGGGCTTCACCCGTGCGCAGCTGGAGCCGCCTCCGAGAGCACCAGCCCACCTGCACCCACTCACTGCCTCGCTACCGCAGTGTGTGAACTCAGCGGCCGCCCTCCTCTGAATTATGCTACGTTCACTGACTCCGGTATAACTTGATTTCACACAAATTCCATAAAGGGTTATGCCCTTATTACCAAATGCTTCCAGTGGGGAAGTGTAATCAGGCTGTACAAGACTGTGTTGGACTGCAGGGGACCTACCAGACCTGTCATCTCAACAATAAAACAGAGCACAGATGAGGAGTCCGGTCCATTTCACATAAAAAGGACTGATCAGCTGACAGCCTTTAGTAAAAATGATCTGTAAAAGTCCTCCTAGATGGAAATAAATATTAAATATTTGCTGTGTTTCTACGATGATTCTTTATCCTTTCTGCTTATAACTTTTTCCTAGTAAAATAACTTACTTGAAGCTATGAAAATCACATTCATTGGTAACACAAATTAAATCGTTCAGACTCAGATGTCCAGCACTGTTTCAATCTAGACACAGATTCCTAAGAAGTTGTGTTCCTTCCCCTTTTTAGATTTTTCTCTTGTTAATAAATATTCTAGGTTGCAAAACCCACTCTGTATCTTAATAGATTATATCCAAATTAATAAAGTGTTTGGTTGTGTGTGTGTGTATGCTTACATGTGTGTATGAATATTACACATGATAAATATATACACATATAAGACGTTTTTCACTTGACAGTATCTCAGAAGTAAAGTATATGCCAGTCTGTTAACAATTATAGAAGACGTTTTCAAAAAGCTGAATACAATGTAGGCAGAATTCTCTTGAATTCTGTCAAGAGTAGAAAACCTGTAATAAGAAAGTGTCATTCAGTCTAGTCTGTGGAAAATCAAGTCTGAAACAAACTCTTGTCAACACAAAAAGTCTGCTAGACTCTGTAGCTGACGTCACCGCAAGTGACCATCTGGGAGCCAGGGCAATAGCGCCGTGAGCCGTGGCCACCGGGTGAGCTCCTTGCACTGCTGAGCACGTTAGGCCTGCGCTCATCATCACGTGGATTACTACATTCACACGAATCAACAAACAGGCAGGAAAAAAGCCTAAGAAAGTGATAATTCCTGACAGATGACAGTTTGTATACTGGCATTTTAAATAGATTTCCTCAGACTACTAGGTTTGGTTATATGGGATCAGCAACTTCACATTACGATAGGTAAAAAGAAATCCAAATGAATCAAACACAAACACCACTTGGGGCTGGGGCTGGGACTATGCCCACCCTGGATCTGCTCTAAACCTGATCTGCGAACACACTGTGGCCCACACATCTGCGCAGAAGCCTGGGATGTCGGGACGAGGCAGGGCCGGGGAGACTCTGTAGAGCCTGCAGTCTGTAATCCTCTGGCACATGACATGAGCTCTGGGCTCAATCCTCAAGTTAAAAGCAAACACAGGTTGAGTATCCCTAATCTAAAAACCCTGAAATTAGATTAGTATCCCTTTTAGATTTAGTATCCCTAATCTAAAAACTCTGAAATGCTCCAAAATCCAAAACTTTTTGAAAATCAACATGACAACCCCAAAAAAGGCTCACTGGAGCATTTTGGAATTCAGGGATGCTCAACCAGTACACACAACACAAATGTGCCGCAATCAGACCAAATCTGCACTCTGACACACCTCTGGTCCCCAGCATTCTGGAAAAGGGTATGATACTCAACTGTAATTCCTGTTCTGGAAACCTCAGGGAGCTCTTGTGAGTCTCCAGTGAAAAAGACAAGATTTAGGTAATGTTTAAAACAAAGAGGACTCCTTATTTTTTAGAGACACATAATAAATATTTACAGATGAAATAATGTAACATTTGAGCTTCACATTAAAATGACGTGGTGAGAGAACAGTTATAAAGGAAACAAAAATCAACTACACGCTGGTGCTGTGGGACCGTGGGACAGGTTATGAGGTTTGGGGCAGGTTATGAGGTTCGGGGCAGGTTATGAGGTTTAGGACACTGTGCCACCTACTTTTGTTTATTGAAAAAGTGAAAAGAAAAGAATTTATCTTTAAAAATGTGAGAAAGTTTTATTAATTATGCAGAAAAACAGACGGATTATTAGGAAACAATTTGATGCAGTGTTCTGAATATTCTTCGAAGTACTATGGTTATTGAATCCTTTTTTACAAATAATTCACTAAGAAAATGTAGTGTGAATAACTGACTTCAGCTATTGTGCCTTCTCTGATCACGCTAATGCAGAAATGGTCATTTGAAACTGTTTCCTGCTGACCACAGCAGCAGCGTCAAGGTAACCCAAGCAGCTCACTATAGACCAGCTCAGCCCAGCTCAGCTCAGCTCCGTGGTACTGCCTGCTTCCCAGAGAAGTAAACCGACTTGCCTGAGAGTAAGAACTCGCAACGTGGCTTTGGATCTCATCCATCGTGTCAGTCCCATAGGACACGGTGCCCAGATGGAGCCGCTTGAATACCATCTCATTCCGGGTGAGGGTCCCTGCAACAACCATAACAGCAGCAAGTGAATGAACACAGGTAGCCACCAGGATCCTGCTGTTCTATCCCGCCCCTTCCCAGCCGGGGAGGCCCTGCTCCCCTGACCACGCATGGGTGGGATGTGCTGCCAGGTGATAGAGTAGCTGAAGAGTGGCAGCTGCTACTGTTTTCATTTTAATGGCGAGGACCAGAAGTTTTCTTCCTAGCATGTCAGTTCCCATTGTAACAACTTTTATCAATCAGGAGGGCTCTAGTACATGAAGAAAGTCTAACTTCTGCCTTTCAGCTCAGATTTGATACAAATGCAACTTCTGCCTGTTCTGAAAGAGGCAGACATAAAACTAGAAGACTGAGTCACCATCTTTATAGCTGTAATACAGAACAATGACTGAGAAAGACATCAACTAGCTCCAATTAGGGTGTCCATCGGTTTTTTTAAAAACCTATTTTGAAAAATTATTTTTAGCTGAATAGAAACAGAAATTCCAGATGTGTTTAACCCTTAGCATATATTTACATTACCTGGAATGACAGGAGGTTTGTAAAAGAGAAAGCTGGTTTTTTTCAGCGGAGTTTGCAAACCGTGAACTGTTGGAAGAGGCTTCCTGACCCTCCTGGGCAGTCCAGGTGGAGGTATCAAGGTGGTTACTCACTAGCACCCTCAGTAAAGCCTGATCTGCAGGTCACTTAATGTGAAAATACATGGGTGACATGCACATCATTCTGACTTCCCCAGGTTAAAGAGGTATAGCAACGTAGCAGAGTGAGTGGCCCATAATATGCTACGATGGACTGCACCTTTCCTCTCCTCTTCCCTTGTGGGCTTGTGCACTTACTTCAAAATGCACATAAGGATTATCCACAGACTGTAATGCAGTTGTAGATGTGGATGTGAACAATGATGGAGCCAGCCAATTGCAATAGAAGTTGAACTTTCCACATGGTTACAAAACACCCATAAAATATTAACTGGGTTTTGGAAACTTTGGCATACACGACATTGAAAATACAACACAATCTATTTTCATATCTACCTATGAGGCCATAAGAAATAGTGAGGATTAGGGCACAGAGTTAATCCTCACACATCAGTCGGCACCAGAGCATGCAGGTCACTGGACTCAGAGCTTGACCAGGACACAGAGTTTACTTTAAAATAGAAGGAAAACCTATATTTTTTATTATTTTAGAGATTGTTTCAACAAATGCTTTTGACAAAAGAATGGATACAAAATATAAAATTAGAAATTTTAAAGAGCAGCTGCCACCTGGATATGCCTGTTGGTTTTATAAATTTTGTCTTCTACAAAGTTCTATCTATGTAGCCCCTTTATATGCTATGCCCTGTATACCTGAACAAACGGCTCCCAAGTTTCATAAAGGCCAATCAAAACTACATGAGAAGTAGCTTAAACTTTTTCATTATGTATCACTAAATAAATTAGAATTAACTTAAAATACTAGGTTACATTAAATAATTTAGTTAGCAACATTTCAGCTTCCAAACAACATAATGAAGTTTGATAAATGCTTTGTGTATCAAAGATCTGAGATGAAAAATGACGGCCTACTACCATCTACAGTCAAAAGGTATTTGTATTAGAATAAATACAAAGTTTACCTCTATTATGTGTGCCTAAATAAGTTTTCTGAAAAACTATTTAATAAATGTACTATTTAAATTAAAAATATGTTACATCCTCAGATTGACAGAATTGAAGAATTTCCTTTAGACTTTCCTCTGGTGAACACTGGGCATGAAGCATGGTCAGCTGTGGCAGAGCGTGATAACCGGGCATAAATTCCATTGCAGCTTGCAAACAGGACCATGACTAACACTTTTTAACCTAAGTTTCTACTATAAACAATTTTATATGTAAAGTCAAAGAAATATTATAACAAACACCAGTATAGCTCCTACCAAGAATAGAGGGTTTTTTTTTGGTTTTTGGAATGCAAGTACCAAAAGACCCTTAAATAAGTAACATTTCCTTTTCTCCCCATGCCTCACTCTGGGAATGTTTCCCAGGCTGCTGCGGCGGGCACGGGGAGCAGGCGAGGTGTGAGCGCACTCATGTGTGATGCCAAAGTGCTGCCGCAGACCTTCCCCACAAAGGTGCTTCTGTCCTCATCACACGACGTGTGACCCATACCCTCAGCCGTCCCTCGCCTCAACAGCTTGCAGTTCTCTGGCCAGCAGCATCCACCAGGACACCTGCATGGGCCCGTGTGGGCTCCCAACTCATGCAGGGACCCTGACCAAGAAGGGCAAGACCCTCCTGACTGTGAAAAGCCACCAAAGTGGGTGGCACCGATTCCACGAGACACAGGTGGCATGCCTGATGTGGTAAGCCCTGAAATAAAAGGGAGCTGCTCTTGTGGCAACCACCACCACCAGCAGTATCAGCATGGCCCTTTCTTCGCTTTGCGTATTCAACCCGTTCTCACAGCTTCCCAGTCCTGGGGACGGCCAAACCCCTCCCTGACATCCGTCTGGAGCACCTCAGGTCTTTCCTCTTCACCTCTCATCTTGATTTGCAGCCTCTTCCATGGTTTTCTGAACTCCAGGTCTAATATTCCTTAACCTACTTTCCCACTGGACCTATCTTCTGACCGTAAAAATCTCTTCATTTTACTCCCTTGCTTTTCAAAACCATTAGTGACTCACCATCAAGACCAAGCTTAAACATAAATTACTCGGAATGAAAAACAGGGCTTCTCACGATCTGCTGGAGGCTCCCGGCTGCCCATCCTCAATGCCAGCCAGCCTCCCAGAGACACCAGCTCCCAGGTTCCCACAGATTTTGAATAAATTGGCAATCCGGCCGGGCGCCGTGGCTCACACCTGTAATCTTAGCACTCTGGGAGGCTGAGGTGGAAGGATCCCTTGAGGCCAGGAGTTCAAGACCAGCCTGAGCAACATAGTCAGACCCTTCTCTACTAAAAACAGAAAAATTTGCTGGGTGTGCTAGTGGTGCCTGTAGTTGCAGCTACTAGGAGGCTGAGACAGGAGGATCACTTGAGCCCAAGAGTTTGAGCTATTCCCCAGCCTGTGTTAGTGACATCATTTCATTTAAAAAAAAAAAAAAAGGCAATTCCTGTTTCTTGTGGCAAAAACTCATTAAATAAGGCATCCCAGCATGCTGGGCTTGAGCAGATAAAGCTGGGTTTAGACCCTGCCTGGGACTGTGGGCTGTGAGTCTTCACTGAGTTTCTGTGATTATGCAAACACCTCCTCCCTTGCACAGGTGCTGGGAAGAATAAGTAAGAAAACGTATGAAGTGCCACAATAATATACCAAGTGACATTGTATCCATCTCTCCATTGTACAGATACATTGTTTGTAAGACACAAACAAGAGTTAGGGATTCTCTTGTGAAGAACTGTATGGCATGAGGCAAGACATGTAGGAAACACTCCTGCTTTGAGAGGCAGGGAAGGCAGGTACAGGGCAGCAACAGGTGCCTGCACGAGCCAGGCAGAGCCGCTCCCACAGCCGGCACCAGGCTGGGGCTAGAGGAATTCCCATGGACTTACAAGGGGGCGGCCATGAAGTGGTAGCCATGAGGGGGAGAGCCTGTATCACCTCAGGAGGACACTGTGAGGTGGGGAGAGCCTGTGTCATGACAGGAGGACACTGTGATGTGAGGAGAGCCTGTGTCACCTCAGGAGGACACCATGAGGTGAGGAGAGCCTGTGTCACTTCAGGGGGTCACTCTGAGGGGGAGAGCCTATGTCACCTCAGGAGGAGATTGTGAGGTGGGGAGAGCCTGTGTCAACTCAGTCACTGTGAGGTAAGGAGAGCCGGTGTCACCTCAGGAGGACACTGTGAGGTGTGGAGAGCCTGTGTCAGCCCAGGAGGACACTGTGATGGGGAGAGGCTGTGTCACCTCTGGAGGACACTGTGAGGTGAGGAGAGCCTGTCAGGAGGAAACAGTGAGGTGGGAAGAGCCTGTGTCACCTCAGGAGGACACTGTGAGATTAGGAGACCCTATGTCACCTCAGAAGGACACTGTGATGTGAGGAAAGCCTGCATCACCCCAGGAAGACACTGTGAGGTGAGGAGACCTATGTCACCTCAGGAGGACACTGTGAAGTGGGGAAAGCCTGTGTCATGACATGAGGACACTGTGAGGTAAGGAGAGCCTGTGTCACCACAGGAGGACACTGTGACTGGGAGAGCCTGTGTCACCTCAGGAGGACACTGAGGTGAGGAGAGCCTGTGTCACCTCAGGAGGACACTGTGAGGTGGGGAGAGCCTGTGGGGCAACCTCATTCTGGTGGGTCCCCCACATGGTGGTGTTGTGCCTGGAGCACTATTTTTGGGGTGTAGTGGTGGGGTCACATGTGGAGGAAGGGAGCATTAGAAAGGTCTAAGTGAGGAATGATGCAGCAGTAGGGGTCAAGGCAGAAACAAGAGGCAAATTCAGGAACTCTTACAAGTCTGAGGAGGAGAACCCTGGACTTCAGTACTGCATGGGGCTCTGAATCTGAGGCGTCTGAGAGCAGGCCTGGAGGTGCTTCTGCCAGGTGCCTGGCCAACATGGGAAATAGGAAGTGAGGATGCAGGTAGGCTTGGGGGCAGGAAGACAGAGATGAGAGTTTGGTTTAGGAAAGGATGAATCTGCAGTGGCTGTGGGACAGACATGTAGAGGAAAAATTGTCACTTCTGTGGTCTGGGGCCTGGGAGCAGGGCCCATCCTGGAAGGCTGGGGACACATGTTTGTGGCCGTACCCTCAGCCCTTGGCAAAGCACATCATCCCTGCATGACATATTTTGGAAATTGTGCTTTATTATGCTATATCCATGTGCACATCCCATACTCCCATCCGTATCACAGGACCTAGGTGACTGGAGTGTGGCATTGCAGGGTATAGGGCTCAACAGGAAGCCACCAATACCTTAATGGTATTTATTTTCTAAAACCCAATGAAAAAACTCTCATGGCAATCTACTGAAGTAGGCGGGCAAACACCCACGTTACATGTAAGCAAATAAGG